CTCCATCCATCCAACCTCCCACAGCCTCCGCCCCGAGGGTCTCACCCCGGGGAGTGCCCCCACCCACCCCTCACCACGTCCTAGGTCAGGGTGCCGCGGCCACGATCGCCCGTTTCCAGACTCACCCTGTTCTCGTCGTAGATGATCTGCACCAAGCTGCGATGTTTGGACTCGATAGGAGGGGGGGAGATGGGTTTTTCAGGCTCCGTGGCTGCTTCTTCCTCCAACTGTTGCTGTGGAAGGAGAAGGGGGAGGAGGAGGGTGAGTCACAGCGAGAAATGCAGCCGTCCCCATCCGCACGACGGTCTCCGCAGTGCCACGGCCCAGGCAGAAACCCCCACGGCAGAAGGCTTCCTGCGAGACACGAGCAGGCTCCGGCCACGGAGGGACGGGGAGAGGGAGGAGAGCTGCGTAACATCCCCTGCCACGCAAGCGCAGCACTGTCCTGCCCCGGCACCCGGCCCCGTGATGGTGGGTCAGGGCTTTTTTAGGCACCGAGGGTGAGGCCCTGCCTCCAACGAGCTTCCCGGAGAGGGCTTAAGGCTAGAAATAACGATCTGACTGGAAATCCTTAAGGGGAGCGGCAGCTCCAAGCCGGCTCCCTGCTACTACCGGGCTCCAGAGCCGCCGCTGCGCTGCGGAGAGCAAGGGGTGACCCCACCTTCCACCTTATCCTGCGGTAAGTGGTGGGAGTAGACGCCTCAGGATGACTGTTCTCGACGAAATGACTCATGCACCGGTTGCCCCTGCGCCATGCAGCCGGATGGGCCAGTGAGTACGGCAGCATGGCAACACCACCGTGAAAACTGGCGTGACTGAGCATGCTGCAGCTCTCCCGGCCAAGGTGAGCCACGCAATGCTCTGGAGGGCAAGGAACGGCTCCAGAACAGCACAGAACTCAGACACAGGCCACCTAGACACCCTCTGGTGAACTTCTGGAGAGAGCCCAAGTACTTGGGTTGCAAATACCTGCAGCAGAGACACGCCACGCAGCTCTGGCCATCCCAGCAGACAGTGGAATTGCTGCTGAGGGCACCGGCACAGCTTCCCTGCCTTCCACGCTCCCCTGGGAAGGCAGCTCTGGGACCCCTCCTCTCCTCCCATCACATAGGACAAGCTGTCCTGAGCAGAAACTAGCAGGTGAGTCCAGGCTCCCAGAGAAAGGCTGGATGGCCATCCCAGAGCGACCTGCCTGAAGGGACTACAGTGCCGAGAAGCTTTTGTTGGCCTCTCTGCTTTCTTACTGTCCTAACGTCATTGCCCAGCCCCACATCGTGTGGTATCTAGGCTCCGAGGTGCAGCAGCCACATGCAAAATACACCGTTCCATCCTCTCCAGCCCCACGTGTCTGCTGGTGCTGGGACAAGGCAGCCCACGGTGTGTGTCTCATCCCAAGCTTCAGTCCCGTGCCCGGCAGGAACACGCAGGAGCCCAAGAGCTGCTCCATGAGCACGTCCAACTATCACTTTTTCACTGCTTGGCCCCAAATCTCTGTATTTGTTGCTGAAGCAGCCTCTGTTGAAGCAACGGGAAACCAAGCAAGTCTCCTACAAGGAAGAAAATCCAGCTGGGACTGAAAGCAATCAGCTTGCACCAGAGGGAAGTGCTTCACCATCCTCTGCGATACAGCGCGTCTGGCAGCGCGAGGAGGTAGTGGGCACCTAATTCCTCCTTCAGAGCATCTCTCCTCCGACTGCCAATGCCCTTAGCAACCCTTATCCCATGGGATACAGGCCAGGAAAACACTTAAGTGCCTAACGGCCACTCACACCCCTTAAACTCAATGTGCTTCAGCAGATGAAGCTGTGGACTCCACTCATGTTCCATATCCCCACAGGTGGAGCACTCTTCCCATCCAGGGAAAAGCAGCAGTATAGGGAACACGGAGATATAGTCCCGAAAAAGCCACCATCACCAGGCAGCCGAGCATCATCCCAGACAGGGAGCCCCGGCTCCATGCGCCGGCACCAGAGTACCCACGTCAGGGCCTTAACCTGGGGCTTACCGCATCCAGGGGTGAGGACGGCTGGGAAATGGCCAGCTCACACCGTCTGCACCCTGGAAAGGGATCAGCCTTCCCCGGCACCACAGGGATCCAACCTGCCCGCAAAGAGCCTCGCTGCCGAAGGCTCCAACCACGCACGCAAAAGCCCGAAAGGTCCTTTCTCATCTCGGCCACGGCTATTTCCTGCGTGGCCCAAAGCACAGCTCCCTGCAAAGGCCACCGGAGCTCCTTGGGAAGCCACGGGCTGGAGGCAGTGCGTGGCATCAGCCCCAGCACGGAGGCGGCGCTTCCAGGCACCTTCCTGGTGTCCTTGGACCAGCCAAGACACCCCACCACGCACCCTCCCTCCCAGGTGGTAAACTCCAAAACCTCCAAAAAAAGAGCCCCAAAAGGAATCAGAAAATCCTCTGCTTCTCTTGGGGAAAATCTATGGGTTAAAAAGCCTCCAAAGAAGGCAGAAACTTGGCTACATTGTTCTGGAAACCCACAATTCTGCACAGCGACCGGGTGTGTCGTAAGCGATTGCAGACGAGAGGATTTGATGGCGTATCAGGAAATCAAAGTTTGCCAGTAAGTGGAGGCTCATTAAAAGCAGCTCGTCAAAAGAAAATACATATCTAATTATAGCTGAAATACAGTACAGAATGAAGTTCTAGTCCCTGTGGCGTAACGCCGCGCGCTGTCAAAGGGCCGGGCACAGAGGAAGGGACGCGGGCATAGTCGGCAGGCAGCACACCCGAGCGCAGCAGGTCCAGCCCGCGACAGCCACCCCGGAGCTGTGGAAACGGCAAAGCAAAATAGGTCAGGGTTCCCAGACACGGGAAAAAATGGGTTTCCGAAAGGTCTGCCACAAAAGCCAGGCTGGGCCTGTGACCTTTACAGGGAGAGAAGCGGGATCAGAGATTAATCTTGACGGCTCCACACTCTCTCCCTCCCCACTCCCGGCAGCAGCCTGGAAGAACCCTCCTCTCCCAAACGAAAGCCAGCAGAGCCATGGTGAAGGGATGGAAGATGCCATCGGCAGCCA